ATCATGAGGAGACAGGAAAGCATAGAGAAGACAATTATGCTGGGGAAAGTGGAAGGCAAAAGGAAGAGGGGCCGACCAAGGGCAAGATGGATGGATGGCATCCTTGAAGTGACTGGACTGACCTTGAGGGAGCTGGGGGTGGTAACGGCCGACAGGGAGCTCTGGCGTGGGCTGGTCCATGAGGTCATGAAGAGTCGGAGACGACTGAACGAGTGAACAACAACAACAACAACCTGAGACCTTGGCCAATTCTTAGGTTGCACCCACTGCATCTAGATGTTGAATTTGATGGGTTTTTTTATTAGATCCACCAACGATGCTTTCATGATAGCTTAAGCCCATTGATTTATCTATGCTGGAAGGACAGGATGTGTTAGTAACCACAATATCAACATGCTTTTGGTGATGGTGGCTTAGTGGGTTGAACTGGATGGCCCATGAGGTCTCTTCCAACTAAAGGAATCTATTATTCTCTCAGATCACATCTCTATATATGGCTGCTTCTCATCTGTGTCCAAAAAAAGGACTGGCTGCATACCTTTTCTCCTTTGATCCCCACAAGGCCATTCTGTCCCTAGAAATATAGAAAAGAAACCATGTTGGTAAAAGGCAAGAATGCCTAAGTTTGACCATTCCATGATCCATATTACCTTTCAGGTTTTTGGAGACGACTAAAACTACTAGTAACTGCAAATTCAAGATATTACAATGTTATAGCCAGTGGGTGGAAGAAGGCAGTTCTGCTGGCTTGTCTTCATTAGCAAAAGAAAAGAAATTGGGGTGTTTTCTCAGATTGGGGTCTACTCTCATTTCTCTTTTCCTTACTTTTTCACTGTCCGAAAATCTGTAATGTAGCGTGACACTATTTCAATTACCATGGCTCAATACTATGTAATCCTAGGATTTATAATTCGGCATTTGTTGGCAGAGAAGGCTAAGGAACCTGCAAAACCAAACTCCAAGGGCTCCATAGCTTTGTGCCATGGCAATTAAACTGGTATCGAGCTGGATTAATTCTATAGTGTAGATGCATCCTGACTCATCTTTCTAACCTTGTACAGGATTTACAATACAGCAAGGAACACAGAGAATTCTAGTCTGTATCTACATGAATTTGGACTCAAACTGAAGGAAAATAGATGGCCTCTAAATATTAGGAAGAACTTTGAGGCTGCTTTGGAGTCTGGTGGAGTCTCCTTCTCTGGAGGTTTTCAGACAGAGGCCAGATGGCCATCTGTCAGGGATGCTTTGGTTGTGTTTTTCTGCATGGCAGAAGAGGGTTGGGCTGAATTGAAGGGAGATGTTGACAAGCTGGAATGTGTCCAGAGGAGGGTGACTAAAATAATCAACTGTCTGGAGAACAAGCCCTATGAGGAGTGGCTGAAAGAGCTGGGAAAGAGCTCTGCCCCGGAGTGGGGTGAAGGCTCCTTCTTTGGAAGCTTTTAAACAGAGGCTGGATGGCCATCTATCAGGGGTTCTTTGAATGCAATATTCCTGCTTTTTGGCAGAATGGGGTTGGACTGGATGGCCCATGAGAAGGCCGACAGGAGACATGATGAGGGTCATGGATCAATATGTGAAGAGAAGTCATAGGAAAGAGGGAGCAGGCTATTTTGGCTGTCCTGGAGACTAGGGTGAGGAACAATGGCTTCAAACTACAAGAAAGAAAGGAAATTCCACCTGAGCATCAGGAAGAACTTCCTAACTGTGAGTTGTTCAGCAGTGGAACTCTCTGCTCTGGAGTGTGGTGGAGGTTCCACCACTGAACTGGATACACTTTCAAACAGAGGCTGGATGGCCATCTGT